TCTCCCAAACTACAAAGGAAGGTGCCTTCTTTAAAGGTCCATCTGAGCTACTTTTACTGAAGGACCTAGGGGCAACTGAGGACAGGGTATCATATTCAAAATGGGAATTTGTGAGCATCTATTACTGAACTTTGAAAGTTTCAATGCTATCCTCACATAACACAAACTCACTGCCACTGAGACAATTCTGACTCATAGTGATAATATAGGACAGTGTAGACCTGCCCCTGTGGGTTCCAAGACTGTAAATTGCTATGGGATCAGAAAGCCTCATCTTTCTCCACTGACCCTGTAGTTGCAGCCAAGCATGTAGCTCACTATGTCCCTCACATGGCTCCCATGAACAGGAATAAGCAGGGACCAGGAGATCTCTAAGGAATCTCTACATTGCTATAGAAAAGACCAAAAGATAAGATACTACTCTGTGAGGTCTAGAAATGTCCTAGCGTATAAAAATGGTGTGTGTGTGGGGGTTGGGGGGGGAGGTAGCATCTGACCACTAACTTCACAAGGTGGGGGAGAGAAAAATTACCATTAGCATCAGCCCAAGGCCAATTCTATGAGGCAGAGATTAGACATGGTGCCATCCTCCAATCTTTTCAGCAATTCTGGCACCGTTCCTACCACAGCACGCCTTACTCCAGGATCAGAGATACAGTTCTTCCATCAGGAGCGCCTCCTCAACCCTAACCACAGAAACGCCCTGCCCTGCGTGGGGGCTAAGTGTCCAACGCTCTCTGAGCTCTTCAGGTGCTCGGCTCTAGCTCTGCTGGTTGGCAATGAGTGCCCAGGTCTACCAGCAAGACTCTTTCCCAAGGCACCCAGCTTTCTTACTCTTGCTGGTCTCCTGGCTTTACTGCCACTGGTTCCCGGCCACTTCTTTACTGTCTCTCATCAGCGCTGTGTCACAGCTCTATTTCTTGGTTGACGCTGTGATTCGGTGCAAGGATACCCAGGTTCCACTCCACTCCTAGCTCTTCGTGCTTGATGGCAGCCTCTGCAATGGCTCATTCTGAGCTTAGTGAGATGGCTAAGCTGATGGATCCCATAATAGAGGTTCCATATACTCTTTCGCATCATTCCACCCCAAGTGATTGTAAGGCTCCTTATTAACATTAGCAAGCTAGCCAATACCCTTAGTGTGTCACGAGCACCTCACATTTGCTATTTCTACCAAGTCATGTGATGGAAGTTACAAAGACAATGGTTGGAAGGGTAATATCAGTAATTTTCTGCACTGCATAGTCATACATCTCAACAAAGAAACCAATTAGTCATCGAGCAGCACCCATTTAACTCTTCCAAAGCAGCCATCCAACAGTGGGCTTTGAACTAACTAAAGATGGCTCTACGTCACTAGCAAACAGAAATAAACAAAGGAAAAAAGAGGATCTTGAAGACAATGCAAGGAAAAAACAACCATCATTTCTTTCCTCAAAAAGAGAAAATATTCCATGCATGTAACGAGAACAGGGTCCTCGTGTAAATACATCCAACATGTTTGGATAATAAGAATGCCTGAGAATGAAAAGAAAAAATGACAGGGAAGAAATTACTAAAAACTTCATAAAAACGTCCTACAACTGAGCCACGTGAGTTTCCAATTGAGAAAGTCTACTGAAAACCAGCAAAAATAAAAAAAGGAAAGCCTTTCAAAGGCACGTTGCTGTAAAATTCCTAAGATCTAAAAAGGTCTTTGAAAGAAAAAGGCAACAAGCCACACACACAGGACTAGGAATTAAAACAGTGCGGTAATCTTCAGTAGTAATAGTGCAAGCTTTACCAGGAGCAAAGCAATGCCTGAAAAAAAAGGAAAACAATCCTGATACAAATCCTACACACAAAACAGCTGGCAAAGTCTGGAGCCATTTCTGGATGTCACCCCTGAAGAAGAGGGGAAGAGCCTGCACGCATCCTTATACAGCGGCCAACTGAAGCGCAGCTCCACAGAGTAATACAAAGATGAGCTTTTTAAAGAAATCACTTCTGCTAATTTAAAACATAAATAATGTACTTTGCTAATATACAGTACATACTCGGTTTTTGTACTTATTAGTATGCCATCTTTGTTTTAAAAGAAAACAGGATTACCAATATGCTGAAATTCTGGATCTCTTAGCGAGCCCTGGCGGCGGCGAGAATGACGGCAGGATGGAGCGCATGGCGGAGACGGGCCCTGCCAGGGGGTGTTTGCTGGAGACTCTGCAGCTGTTGGAGCTGGCCGCGTGGCATGCGCACATGTGGTGACGTTGGCTTCAGACTCTTCCCTCAAAGGAAGGGGATCAAGGGTTCTTAAACCAGCAGCTGGAGAAGTCAGTAAGCCTGTGGCACGACTTTCTTTCTAAAAGATCACAAGAGAGAGAGAGAGAGACGGTGCTTATGTATTTGTGCACATGTAACATTTAAGCATAAAAAGTACAATCATAAAGACTAGGAGAAAACGTATATGAAAATGTATCTAACTTCTATGTGAGGAAGACTGTAAGCAGAGCAATAAATACAGGTAAATAAATTTGGCTACATTAAAGGGGGAAAATATACATACATAAGCATTTTTAAAAATTAAAAGATGAATGACAACTTGCAAAATAAACAAGGGGGGTTCGGAAAATTAATGGAAAAATCTGTTTTTTTAATTCCTTTGTAAACCCTGCATACAACTTACATCACTAACAAAAAAAATCATTAGCAATGCTTACATATATTTCTCTAAAAGAAAAAAAGATAAACCCATTTGGTACGTAGAAAAGAGGATATAAATAGTCCATTCATGTATACACAAACTGTGGTTCGGGTGCCATGAAGTCCACTCGGATACCATTTGACACGCTCTACCTAACGGCCTAGCGGACTTGCAGGCTACAGTCTTTTGCTTAGCTTATCGTCTTTGGGGGAGGAGACTGCAAAGTTATCCTCTGTGGAGCCCCCCGTAGATTCAAACCCCAACCGTTTGGTTATAAGTCAAGCCCTTAACCGTTGTGCTTATAAACAGAAATAGAGTCTACCTTAAAGCACTGAGCTACTACTAATTTCTCACTTGCAAACATGAATACAAACAGAACAAACCTCTGATACACAGAGCTGGCAAGCATGTGGTGAAATGAGTACTCTCAGGCTCACAGTGTTTGTGGTGGGCTGGCCTTAGCAAAGAGCCTCCAAGTTTTCATGTTCTTTTACCACCCAACAGTATTTGGGGAGTATTTACACAAAGCAAGTTGGTAGAGTATATAGAGAAAAAAATGTAGCTAGAGGTTTAGATTTGCTTTCTAACATTTGTTTTCATAATGGGGAAATTAAGAAATAGCCGAATTATTTCAATAAGCATTCAGTTTTTGAAACTATGGATAATGATATACCACATATCATATTACTGGTAAAATAAGATTACACTTGCTATTCACTAACTCAGAAATTTGTTGAGGACATATTTCCAGGTGAGAAGAACAGGTTATGAAAGCATACATCCATTAGAGTGGGTTTAAGTAATAAATCCATACACACACATATACCTACAAACCACAAAAATTTAACAACAGGCGTTTCTCGGGAGTGGTGCGAGACCAATCATTCTCTATTTTAGTTTGGTTAGTATATTCTATAATGATGATGTGTCACTGTCCAGAAAGCCCCCTAGATATTATTTTTTTACAGGAATGCAAAGCCGTAAAATCAAGTCCAGTTCCATACTCACCTGTAATTGTTGCCTTTACTTACTAACTTTATCAATCCAATAACCAAGAATTGCTTTTCAGCCTTAGAAATCATGTCCTTAAATTAGAGAGCTTAGAGCCTCAAAGTGGAGAAAATCTGGGCTGTTTCAACCACCAGAAATGTTTTAAATCCGAACCATTAAATATGGTTTAAATATGGACAACCAGAGCCACACATTTCACACATACACACACACACCCTTATATTTATTACGCTTCCTTTTTAACGATAAGTCAAGAAGATGCTGTGGGTTACGCAAGCATCGGCTGCTAGTGGCAGTCTGCGTCATCCTTAGACACTCTACAGAGCAAATCCTCTGCGGTCCTGGAGGGTTGCTCTAAATCGAAGAGCAAATAGGCCTAAAGAAACATTGTTCAGATTTCCCCCTTCCCTTTCTACATGCATTTAGATAATTTAGCATCTTTCAAGTTGGTTTTACTATTGTTTAAAAAGTATGAATGAAACCTGTAAATTATTTTTCACACATGGCTTGGCTCCCAGGGTTTACTATAACTGATTCCGTGGTGTGTTTTTGAGCCTAGCATCTCCCTGCCGGGCTCACTGCTTCCACGTTGGCCCTGAGTATCTCCATTCTCCCCTGAGAAGTCACGACAATTGTTACCGATCATGTAAACCAGACCACACTTGCTTTGCTGCTGCAAACTCTCTAGGGCGGTGGTTCTCAACCTTCCTAATGCTGCAGCCCTTTCATACAGTTCCTCTTGTAGTGACCACCAACCATAAAATTATTTTCCTTGCTACTTCAAAACTATAATCTTGCTACTGTTATGAATCGGGCAACTCTTGTGAAAGGGTCATTCGATCCCTCAGGTTGAGAAACGCTTAAGGGCTTCCCCGGGCTAGTGAAGTAACATCCACATTGCTACCTTTCCTAGCCCATTTCCTATAGCTCTCCTCTCCCCTCACAGGCACCAGCCACAAGGACTTTCCTCTCTCTTTACAGCATGTGCTTGTTCCGGTTACAGGGGCTGTGTACTTGCTGTTCTATTTTCCAGGAAACGATCTGGTCCCAGATCTCTCTGCACGCCACCTCCTTCCCTGAGCGGGGCTTGGTGAAAATACCTCCCCCTTAGAGGCCATGGGCAGAGGGGGAGGAGGGGTTACTCATGAGCCCACTGTTCTCTTCCATGTCCTCCACAGCTCCTGCTACTACCTCAAATCACCATTTTAAAACATTACTTGCTCAGTGTCTATTGTTCAGAACAAAAATGTAAGGTCCATGAGGAAAAGGATGTTTGGTTTACAGCGAATCCTCAGGTCCTACAGGAATGCCTGACCCTAGTAAGAGTCTTAGAGGGCTCTTACCCAGCGTTCTGTTACTCAGTGCCCAGCACCAGCCGCTCGGCCTGTGTGGCCCATCAGACACCCAGGCAGCATTCATGACACATCCCCACCCTCGTGCTCCGTCATCCATCCCAGCACCAAATCCTGACTCCCAAACTGCATTCTTCAACTCCAACCATTTCTCTCTGGATGTGCGCAGATCCGTCATGCAGCCTGCTCACACTACCGCTCTCCAGCCACACTCCCTAGTCCTTGCTCTCTATCAACGCCTCCCACCCCGACCACAGCAAGAGCTTTCAAAAGGTATCCAGGGTGTACGCCTGCCTTCCACGGCAGCCAGAACAAACGTGGTCCCATCACTCCTATACTTCCCGATGCTTTTGAAATCATCGGAAGTCTACACCTCGCTCCTGCCTCACCTTGCATCACGCGGCCTGCCTCACACTATATTCCTTACTGCACACTCCAGCTAGACTCTCCATTTCTTAGGCCTCTGCGTCCTTTCTCCCCACGGCATCCTGTCACCTGCCTTTTTTGCATGGCAACTCTTCCTCTATATGCCTCTCAGCTCAATCCAGACTCAATCTGAGGACATCCTGACTTCTGCCAGTCTCAAGATTTAAAATAAACATCCTTATTTTTAAGGGTAGCAACAACTGAAGTTCTTAAATTGAAAATTCCAAAGGCAAAAACAGGGAGGAGAAATAGACGGAAATGACTGGATTAGAGAATGTAAAGGGACAATGACAGGAAGTTTGGTTTTTGCTTTATTCATCTATGAGATGACTTTCTAAATATCCTTTACCCACTCTATCACTTTTAATATTGATAGTGGGTTTTAGATGCATTTTCTATATTAACAATATTAACCTTTTTTCCAAATTGCCAATTTTCTTTTGAGTTTTTAAAGTGCAAAAATCTTAAATCTGTTCATTTAAATTCTAGCTAATTTTTGGTCAGATGGCTTCTAAACTTTGGGTTTTTGCTTAGAAATCCCTCCCCATGATACTCACTGTCATGGCGTCAATGCTGACTCACAGCACCCTATGCAACAGGGCAGAACTGGCCCTGTGAGCTGCCAAGACTGGAACTTTACAGGAGTAGAAAGCCCTTTCCTGTGTGGAGTGGCTGAGGGCTTCACCGCCACAATAGCATATAAATACTTTGGATATTTTCCTCTGTTCACTTAGTTCAATTTCACATTTGGCTTCTTTAAATCCATATGTAACATCTTTTAAGGCATGATTAGAGATAGGGGTAAATCTTTCCTTCCACATGGATTGCCCTCTAGTCATTTTCAATAATCCATCTTCATTGGTCTCCACTGATCTATCTGTCTATTCCTGTGTAAAGAACCCAGTGAGTTCACATTATACTTCATCTTCCTATTGAGGAGGCAGTCTTTCTAATTATTCTTCTCAAATTCTCCTTATTAATTTCCCTCCCTGCATTATTCTTCCAGATAAAATTTGGAATCTAATTGTCAAGACACAAAAATAAAATAAACAGAAATAGTGTCAGGATAATAATATGGAATACCGTTAAATTTACTGAATATGAGAAAAGCTGACATCTTCATGACTCTGTGTTCTAGTCTCTATAGTTTTATAAATGGTCCCTGTATACTTTAAAAGTTTCTTCATGTACCAGAATTTTTTCACAATTCCCCCCACCCTAAAATTAAAAAGTTTGGGCTGCTATTAGGTTTCCTCCCCCTTCCTCATTACCTTTACACCAGGCTATCTTATTTTTTTAAATCATTTTACTGGGGGCTCGTACAACTCTTATCACAATCCAACATATATCCATTGTGTCAAGCACATTTGTACATTTGTTGCCGCCATCATTTTCAAAACAAATACCAGGCTATCTTATACAAGTCTTTTAATTGCTCTTAGTGAGTCTCTTAGATCTTCTACATAACACCTGTAGAGAATGCTCAACTTGTTCCCAATATTCAATACAAGGGGCCTTCAAAAGTTAATGGAAAAACTCCATGATCTTTAATTGGACTTTCGGAGTCCCTCTAATGCTCTATGAAAACCAACCACGGCCACTGAGTCAATTCTGAAGCCTGTACGGGCAGTTCTCCCCTGTCCTTTGGGGTGGCTATGAGTCAGAGTGACCTCAATGGCAGAGAGGGAGAGGCCTTTCTAAAGCCTTGCATGGGGTCCTTGGAAGTGAGAGGGTCTGAAACTTAAGCTTCTGTAAAATCACAAAAAGTATATGGTTCATTCTATTATAATTACTTATAAGAATTGCTAAGTGGTCATGAAAAAGTAAGCATCCTATTGTATTCCTAAAGCATAAAATATCTTCAGTATTTTAGCATTTACTAGGACATTTAGCTGTAGGATTGTTATTAATGTTATATTTAGGAAGTTTGTTCCTTCTGTTTTATTCAGCTTTGGGGGGATTGGCTGCTGACACTTCCCAGATGCTTTCAGCACATAACATCTGTTTAAGACAGTCACCACAAAAATCCAGAATACCAAGTTAGCCCCATGGCTCACTCTCGCCCCCACTACAGTTCTCTATCTCCCGCTCCTCCCCAACATCTCAAGACTTTGTATTGTCCTCTCTGGAACTCAGGGACAGCCAATAGCAAAATACCCTATGGATTGTCAACCTCTTCTCTGAATGCTTCACCTTCCTGCTCTGAGAAAGGAGGTAGATGGTCACCCCTGCAGTTGGCACAAGTATCCTCCTTGCTCCTCCAGGCCTCTTTCAGGATAATTCTCCCTTCCTCTTCCTAACAATGCCAGGCTTTGGCCATGACAGCATTAATCTCCATGGGGCTATCTTCCCACATTAGGGCCTCAGAAGCTGACAGGGCAGTTGTACCCTGTGCTACAGGGTCCCCATGAGTTGGCATCGACTCGATAGCGGTGCATTTGCTCTTTTGTTCTGTTTTACTACCACTCGATTCCAAACCCCACTCCCAGATGGTTTCAATGCTGAGCTCTAACATTCTCTCCAGTGATCAACTGCCAAAATTCTTGTTGATATCAATAACGATCCAGATGATCTCAATTCGTTGGCCCTCTCCCTATTAACAATCTTCCTTTTCCTATCCTGCTGCAGTCAATTACTCCCTTGATCATATGCAAAACCTTGTCATTTACCGCTAACGGCATTCTCTCTGCAAACTCAAGTTCTGAACACCACACTCCTAACTGTAAAACTACGCCCTCTTGTACCACAATCCCAACACAACTTCGGGTCCACAGACTTAAACTGCAGTCCACTCCCTGCATGGCCCCTGTCATCTCATCACTAAAGCCCACTATTGCCAAGTCCCATTATTCCTCCCTGCCTCAGCTTCTATGGCCAATCATTGCAATCACGTCCTTGAAGGTCCTTGAATTTCAAAGCCCCTTTTCCCAGTTTGTCCTTCAACAAAATGTAAGTCCCAGTTATAGCCAACTGTCTACCTATTATGTTCCTCTGTCTGGAGAAAATATACAACTCCACCGGCCAGTCTTACATCTGATTTCACTCAGGTAAAATCCTTGACTTCCCCTCGATTCTCTCTCCTACCTTACTCTTTATCCATCAGAAAATCTTATCAGCTGTATCTTCAAAGTATATCCGGAATGGGACTTCATCACCTCCACAGAGCATCCAAAGACCTGGTTCTGGTGTTAGCCGTGGCTTCCCACCTGCCCTCCTGCTCCCCCTACTGTGTACTCCTAGCACAGCAGTCACAGGGAGCTTGAAAAATCCTAGCCACGTCATTCCTCTGCTCCTCCAATGACTTCCCATTACATTGAGAACAAAATTCCAAGCCACTGGCACTGTCACTATTGCCACCCACAGTTACATGGCTGAATTCCTTGGTGACACTACTCTCCTCTCTTGCTCTTTGTTCCAGCCACCAGGTCCTTCTTCAAGGAAATCACACATCCACTCGCCTGAGGGACTTTGAACTTGCTGGTCTCTGCTTAGACAGCCTTTCGCGCTAAGGCTGGGTCAATCCACCACCTTACTTCATATTCTGTCAAATGTCTCCCTCCGGTGAGGACTTCTCGGACACTTCCTAATCATTTCCCCTGATTTATTTTTCTCCGCACTGCTTTCTATTAACTAATAGCCACCAAGAAACCCACTGCCATCTAATCCATTTTGACTCGGCGACCCTATATAGGGTTTCTGAAGCTCTACATCTATATGGGAGCAAGCAGGCTCATCTTGCTCCGGCAGAGGCGAAGTTGGATTCAAACAGCTGACCTTGTGGGGAGCAGCCTGAGCAACACCAGGGTTTCTTTCCATCAACTAACAGGCTGTGCATTTTACCTAGTCATCTTGTGTACAGTCTCTCTTTGCCACTGCTCGGTGAGCCCACTGAGGGCCAGGCTGTGTCTGCTTTGTTCACTGCTGTATCTACAGTGCACAAAACCGTCTCTGCAGCATACCTGGAATACAAGCGGGAGGCGCTGGCTGACGGAGTAAGATGCTGGCCACACAGTAGCTGTGCAGGAACGGTAGCTGTCCTCCTCCGTGAGGTCACTACTGACCCCTCAGCAGCAAACGTAAGGCCAAATGCCAGCGAAAAACAACCGAATGCCTCTGCCTGCTTACTAAACACGGTCATGAGCATCACCATGCATGAATGGCATTACTAAGATAAGAACCCAATTCCTTTACATGGTAATAAAATAATGAGCTGTTGCCCCCCCCCCTTCCGCCCCAATACAAACATTTACCTTGTTATTCCTTAAAGTGTCGAAGCCATCCTGAGGGGCCGTCTTCGTCCTCTGGTCTGGCGCTAGATGCTTCCCTTTGGGTGGGGACACTAAAACAGCACCACCTAGAGACACGCAGAAGCCAACGGGTTTCAATTAAACAGATTGTCTGGCAGAAGACGCAGGCTAAGAAAGGACACAGTGTCTGCCTGTTACCAACAGCTGGGGTGGTAAGGTCGTGATGAGTTCTCTGGGCTCCGAGTTCTCTCAGCTTTGGTGTTGGAAGCCGGCCTCCTTTCCCCGACGATACAGAAGAAGAGTCCGACCTACAAATTGAAACAGCCTATTATGAAGCATTTCTTCTAGAAAATGTGGTCCAATCCAGTTCTGCATGATTACATATAATAAGGGAGCCCTGGAGATGCTTTGTGTAAGCATTGGATTGCTGCTACCCACAAGGTTGATGGTTCAAATCCACCATGGGGAGAAAGAGGAGGCTATCTGCTCCTGTAAAGATTCACAGCCTCAAACACTGTACATGGGTCAATATGAGCCAGAATACACTCGAGGGCAGTGTGAACCCTATAGAAGGGAAGGTCATTTTGTTTCCAAAACAAATCACATCCCCAGTCAGATGATAAGAGTCACTATGCACTGGCAAAGAGGCAAGTTCACTGTAAGCTAGCCCCAAACGGCAGCTGACTCTGTTAAATCAAGCCCTAAGTTCCAGACTAGCTGCAAAGCTCAAGAATGAGCGATGAAGACCTGGGAAAAGAGCGCCACTCTTGAGGAGAGAGGCAGCCCCAAAGCACCTTGCACATAGATCTACAGAACGTCGTTCTTCGCAGAAACCACTTTTTCACAAGTATCACAATGTTGACTGATAGATACAAGTATATAAAATCAGGGCATGAACAAGACTTGATAAATTAAGTAGACTTAATTTCAATGCTATAATAAGAGGGAATAATTAACTCTCTCATAACTTGCTTCACACTCACAAAAACCACTTCAAAGGCATTAACAATCTCTCAAAACTGAACAATACTGTGCAAGGAAAGCATGTTTCTTTTTTAAAAAGACTTGTGCACTTGCCACGCTCAAGGGTATTCAAATCTAGCCCATCAGTAGAGGCAGAAATACAGACAATATAGTACTATTGCAACAACCATCAATTACAGTGAAGAATGTTTCAATAACAACCAAATGGACAATCAAATATGGCAACAACTCAGGTATTACTGAGCAAAGTGCATTTCTACAGTAATCAGTGCTGCTATTCAGTTTTCACACTTAAAACAGCTTATAATAACTAACAGCAACCACTTTTATTTTATTTTATTGGGGGCTCGTACAATTCTTATCACAGTCCATATATACATCCACTGTGTCAAGCACATATGTACATTTGTTGCCCTCATCATTCTCAAAACATTTGCCTTCTACTTGAGCCCTTAATATCAGTTGCTCATTTTCCACCTCCCTCCCCGCTCCCCCCTCCCTCATGAACCCTTCATAATTCATAAATTATTATAGTTTTTTCATAAGTTACACTGTCCGACGTCTCCCTCCGCCCTCTTCTCTGATGTCCATCCCCCAGGGAGGAGGCTATACTTAGATTCTTGTAATTGGTTCCCCCTTTTTAACCCACATTCCCTTCACCCTCCAGGCATCGCCCCTCTCACCACTGGTCCTGAAGGAGTCATCTATCCTGGATTCCCTGTGTTTCCAGTTGCTATCTGTACAATGTACATCCTCTGGTCTAGCCAGATTTGCAAGGCAGAATTGGGATCATGATAGTGGGGGTGAGGAAGCATTTAAGAACTAGAGGAAAGTTGTATGTTTCATCGTTGTTACCCTGCACCCTGATTGGCTCCTCTCCTCCCCACAACCCCTCAGCAAGGGGGTGTTCGGTTGCCTACCGATGGACTCTGAGTCTCCACTCGCAGCAACCACTTTTTAAAATAATTCATAGTCTTTTTGATATAACCATCTGATGTTAAAGAACTTCAACATTTTTTTTCTTGCAGAAATATTTCCAAATATAGCAAATCATAATTAAAAGAATATATAAAAATTACTCTACTTCTTCCTCAAGTAGCTCAGTGCTCCAACATTCAATCATCAATTGGTGGTGGCTCAAATACCAGAGTGAGCCGTATTCTAACAATAGAGAAATGTTCATTTCTTGACATTAAAAGTCAAATTTGCTCCCAAACAGTCATAAATCCAAAAACTACTAAGCACATATTATCAACTATCTCATCTGACTATCTTATCAATGATCTCATTTGAATTCCTGACAACAGTGAAAAGTACCTATCCACCTATTTTGTACATTAACAGCATGCATCTGGCAGTAGTGAACACCCAGGTATGAGCTTGAAGAGTACTGCTGACTGTGAAGGTTAAGGTTATATGTCAACTGGGATGAGCTAAGATTCTCAGTGGTATTGTAATGACATAATTTAGCAGTTATTGAGGATGTACTCACTCTCCATTTTCAAATGATGCCAATTTTAGAAATAAAAACCTCATCTTTGGAACCTAACCAAGTTGATAAGTGGGGTGTGGGTATACTTGGTGACAAAACTATACACTTATATATCATGGACAATAACACTTCTGAATAATTTTAAACACTCACCCTTCTTTGATCTTCTCAGCCTTAGAGCGTTCCTTTCCCCCAAACTTCTCTAACTCTTCCACGTGAACCTGCTTGATCCTTTCACTTCCCTCCTCCTCCTCCTCCTCCTCCCTCCCTTTTGGTTGTCTTTGCATCTCTTCACTGGCATTATCTGCATCCCAAGCTAGCCGTCTTCTAACGGGCGCTGTGGGAGCGTCTGGCATGCCCAGTGTCTCCGCGGTGTACTGTGGGGGCTGTTCATCCAAGACCGGGTGTTTTTCTTCTAGTTTAGTTGAAGGACATTTCTGCAAAGTCTTGTGGCTTGTCGGATCTCTGAAAAGTAAAACAAGCTTTGTTTTAAAATGGGGTAGTTTTCGTTTTTCTGTTATACTAGTTTTACGGAGTCCATCATCCCCTCTCTTTCCTCACAAAGACATCATTATCCCAGAAACTGCAGACTCCATAGAGGGGAGAAAGAAATCCAACTGACAGTTCGTTTTACAGTCTAAAAACCTAAAAGGATGTATTCCACAGCTTCTCATAAAACATTTCAAAGTGAAATGGATTTATCCTCCCCTACTCCTACCTTCACACAGGACACCTGCCTGCATCTCTACAGGCAAAACTCATACTTCTCCCCTAAGCCTGCATCTACGCACAGACACTAGCCTCTTGCGTAGCTTTACATGGTTAGTTACTCAGTTAGGATTTTGTGTACACACTCAAGCAGATCTATAAGATAAATGAGCTGATTTAAAGGTTCTAGAGATTTATCTTTATATAGATTTATCTTTTCAAGACAAAGAATACATCTGGTGAGAAGCTTTTTAATCCAATGTCTCGTAATTACAATTAGGTTAATCTGTTAGTGAACTATATTAATATACTCTGACAATTAAAAACAATTTTATTTGCTATAAGTCAGCATGTCATTTCTTAGAGTGAAATCATTTTCACTTTAACCCGAATGTAAGAAAATTCTTTCATAAAGTCAAATCTGCATGGGCCACAAAACCCGAGTGAAGCCTGAAGGATCTGGACCCGTAGCTTCTATTGGTCTCCAAAGAGTCACTGGTGCTCCTTCTCCCGCTGCAGTTCTCTTTCACTCTGCTTTCTAAATTAACTCTGTCACTACTGTCTGGTCATTCTCATTGTTCTTCATTATCAATAAGGGAAATGTTAAAACTTAACCCTCCCACCTTCCATCATGCATTAGGTATGTACAAGTCCATAAAGCATGTGCCGCCTCGTTGTTCACAGAGGATACATTATTAAGGCCAGTACCAAAGACCTGATTCTCACTCACAGCAACCCCACAGTACAGAGGGGAACTGCTCCAGGGGGCTTCCTGGACGGGAATCTTAATGGAAGCAGATCACCAGGCCTTTTCTTCCACAGGACCCTTGGGAGGGTATAGTCGAGTGGAATAGACTTTTTAAAAAACAGGAAAATAAACTCTGGCGCATCCCATTTACTAGAAGACAACCTTAGGTAGTCATGTCAGTTTCCAATAATTCTGTGTTCTATCACCACCACTCACCTGTCATTTTGTCATCCTTGTGGTGGCTTACATGCTGCTGTGACAGTGAAAGCCATGCCACCAGTATTTCAAATGCCACTGGGGCCACTAATGGTAGGCAGGTTTCACCAGAGCTTCCAGATGAAAGAGAGTGGGAAGGACCTGGAGATATGCTTCTAAAAAATATTGGCTAGTAAAAACTTTCTAAGAAGTGACCTGAGATTGTCTGATGTCGTGCCAGAAGGTGAGCACCCCGGTGAGAAGTCTCTCAAAAGACTGCTGGGAACAAACTGCCTCCTCAGAGCAGAGTCACTGTTAACGACACAGCTGGTGGAAAGTGGGGCTCCAGGAATTGATGAAGAGCAGTCGAGCTGTTTCAACACACCATTACATTGGGGGAAAGCCCATTCATCTATGCCAAGAATGGCTAGCTGGCCCAATGCTGGACGAGACCCACGTTTGTGCCCAATACAAAGAAAGGTGATCCAACCGAATGCAGAAGACACTGACCAGGACCATTCACATCACATGTAAGTAACTGTTGCTGAAAACAATTCACAGATGCTTGCAGGAGTACACTGCCAGGACACTCCTGAGTTCAGAAGAGCATGAGGCCGAAGAGATATATCACTGCTCATGCCAGATGGATCTTGGCTAACAGCAGGCAAGACCAGAGAGATGTTTACCTGCGTTTTATTGACTAGGCAAAGGCATTCCACTGTGTACCAAAACCAATTATGAACAATGCTGCAAAGTACAGGAATTCCAGAGCACAGTTAGTCATTTTCATCCTGTTCTGAATGAATTAGGGAGAAAGGGGGCCTGATGTCTTTAAATTGGGAAGCTAGCAAAGAAACTGAATGGACTACATGAGGAATATTGAGTGGACTCTGTGGACTGCCAGAAAAACAAACTAATCTGTCTTGCAAAAATGTAGCCGGAATGTTCAAAAAAAAACCCAAAAACCAAGGATGGTGAGACTGTGTCCCAGGTAGTTTGGAAATATTAGGAAGAACAGTCCATGAAGAACATGAGGCTTAGCAAAGTATTGATTCAGTAGAAGAGAGGAAGACCCTCAATCAGACAGACTAAAATGGGTTGCCCTAAAGGATTCAGACTCTGCCCTACAGGAGCAGACTGTGAGGCTGCGAGGCCGGCACAGGACTGGGGAGTGGTATACAAACGGTGTCTGGGAAATAGAGCGGACTGAACAGCAGAACTCGGCCCGGGACTGGAGGAAGGCTTATTTGCACAACCTGTGACATGGAGGTGACACCGCCTGAGCGCTGACGAGTGAGGAGGACTAGGAGCACTTGCTGTTGAAGATCTAGGATTGCAACCCTAAGTCTGGGTTACAACTCAGAGAAGACCAAAAGCCCCACAACTGGACCAAGAAGGAACCTCACGATAAAGGGAGAAAAGGCTGACGCTGCCCCGGCTATCACCTTGCTCGGATCCACAATCAGTGTTCACGGAAGCAGCAGTCAAGGGATCACAGAGCAAATCGCAGTGGGCAAAGCTGCTCTACAAGACCTCTGGAAAGTGCTGGAAAGCACAGATGTTACTTTGTGGACTGAGGTGCACCTCACCCAAGCCATGGTATGTGAACCACAGGACTGGTGTTTGATCTGTTGTACACAGGGTTGCTATGAGTCAGAGCTAACTCTACAGCACCTAACAACAACAGCATCCAAAAAAACAAAACAAAACTGTAAGCTACAACAGACTTTCCACCGTCCCCAAAGAGCATCTCACCCAGCAAGATCTAGAGCTCGGATGTTGCTGCTAATGGTTCCTTCTGAGCTCGTGGTTGAAGAAACATCCCAACAGCAATTGGTATCAGACAGAATCTGATTCAGATGGTCCCGAGAAAAATGTGTTCCCAGGACTCGTTTCCTATAAAACTCAGCCTTCTCTCGGAGTTCTTTAACCTATGAAGGAAAATTCAGACATCAAATATTACTATAAATGCTTCTTTGCAATTATAAACACGAATTATAGACATTGCACAAACACAGCCAGAGACCAATGAGAAAGAAAAGGCATAAACAGATGCAAACATTCACATAACTATGTGCAGTGTTAAGCAGAAATTAAAACAGTTCAGCTAAAGCACAATGAAGTTATTTTATTTTAGGCCAGCAGGCAGGGAGAAATGTGCAGCAGTTGAGAAAAATATTAACGCCTACTTCTTATTTCAATTGTAATAGACACAAGTACTCTATGCTTTATTATAGTTTTTAAAAACTCAAAAGCAACCAACCTCCGCATACCACATGGCATTTAGACAGCCCTGGGGAAGGAATACAGAAACACACTTAATGACAGGTTAATGCCAGAGCTGAACAGTAATGGGAATCAATAAAATGCTTTATTCTTAATTCTTCTACATACGTAATATCCCACAAAATAATGATTGCAGGATGTCTAATTCAACTGAATTAATTACATCACAGAAGGATCCTGGCAGTTTTAACCAGGTGACAGGGTTTTCTGTCTTAATGTTCTGATAAACTGTAAAGTGCTTGGAATCCCTTAACATGTAAATAAATACTTTTCACCTGAACAGGAATCCTTACCCATTTGAAACCCTCTCATTTTATACACCATACTGCCATCTGCTGGCTTCACCAAATACAGTGCCACAATTTTTTAAAAATTAATTTGAAACTTCACCCTTAAAATTGAGCTTAAAATCATCTCTTTTTTTCTTATACAAAGGCTCTATTTTCTATATAAAGGTGAAACAGAAGCATTAAAAGGGTTCTGAGTACTAACAGCTAGAATTACTCTTATTTCACATAAAGGCCCAAAAGGCAAGCAATGCAGCCTGGTTTTGCCAAAGCGATTGCTGCAGCCGCCTCAGTTCTGTGGCGAGCCACTATGGAATGGAACCGAATGACAGCACGGCACCTCCAGGGACCCAACCAGGCAGCAAAACAAAGATCGCTCCTGCCATGGCATAAGGAGCCACCCAAGTCCAAGAGAGTCCCACTGCTCCGGGGCCCACTCCTCAAGACACTCCCACTGGGTACTTCAAAATAGTATGTCCTTTACTGCCCCAAACTCTGTACTACCTGGCAACTCCTACACTTCGGGTTGCATGGGACAAGTAACACCTAATACACATAGACAGAGTCGAACCACACACGTGACTCTTGTTAGGAAGGACCTTCTATTCCGTCCAGATTCTACTTCTAAGACGTGCTCCCGTGTCTCAGGAGTTGTTCACCAGTACCTCCACGATATAAATGCACGCCTAAGCACGGCTGCCTACTCTTTCACTGAGGCCCTTCCAACTCCAGCGAGCCCAGAGAAAGGTCCTCCGAGGCTGTGGATCGCTGCGGGAGCAGATCCCTTCCAACAAGCAGCTGAGGAGCAGCAGCACCAGGGTTCCCTTCCCAGATACCAGGGCTCTTCCAAAAGCCATGGAAAGTGAAAATGGAAGCAAAAGGAATTTACCCACAGACTTTCGGAAGGCCGCTCTCACGGTAAATCCCTGCCAGTACAAAGCAAGAACAAAAGCTGTGATGTAAGCCAACCTCCCCGATCCTGGTCATCTCTCAACTAAAGCTGCTTTGGCCAACGCTGACCACTGACTTCTTAGAGTCTTATTCTTTTCTAATTCTAATTGACTGTTTGAATTAGTTTGCTCAAAGAGGGTAAAACAAGCTATCCCATTAATTTAAATATTTACAACCACCGATAACAATTCATAAAACAAACCCAAAAAAGTCCCCTTATCAAGTTACCAAAATACGAAATTATGGGAAGACAGATTTAAAAAAAGAGTCCTTCCCTCAGGGGCAGAGTGAGGAATTTCACCTCCCCATGATTTCAGACATAACAACCCTCTGAATCCATGAAACCTTTATACCTGTGACCTAAAACCACTCAGACTCAAAAGACTGAGACAATCTTTCCAAAACAGGGAGCTTTCTGTGAGCTCAACCTAGGAAGTTCCTAAACCTGACAGGACAGTAGCTGACACCTTCTCAATGGTCACATTAGCCCTCTTGGGTCACCCTTGGTCCTCCTTTGCCCCTGGCTTGTCCTCATTCCCTATGAGACTCCCAGACACAGAGCCATGAACTGCCTGGGAGTTTGAGTAGACTTGATACCTTCAAGGCCACTCTTGATTTCACCAGGATGAATCCATGGGTTTTGTCCCAGAAAATGGGGAACTCGGGTGGCACAGCAGTAGGTCATGCATTGGGCTGCTAACCACAAGGTCAGCTGTTCGAATCCACCAGCTGCTCCATGGGGAAAAGATGAGGTTTTTCTGCTCCCATAAAGACTTAGTCTTCAAAACCCTCTATGGGGCCTCTCAGTCCAAATCAACTTGAAGGCAGCGAGTTTGCTTTTTGGTTAATATCTGTGACTTCTTGGAGTATCTTTTCCTCTGCCATTACAGCAGAAGGAGAGAGGCAGAGAGCTGCCCCAGTGGACGGACTAAAGCAGGCTCCCAGAACCACTGTGATGCGCAGCAGTGCCAAGAAACATCTCTGAGAACCACCAGCTCAGAGCCGGTGGCTCTGAGTGCCAGAGCCTTCCCCCAGAGGCTGAACGAATAGGGCTACATCGTTGGCCAGCATGTCAACTAGAGAAATAATAAAACCTATTCTCCGCCCAAACTCTCACTCTCTTTGCAATGATATGGGTGAAGGGAGGAAGCAGGAAGGGAAGAAACGTTTACTAATGCTGTCAGGTCTAATCGACATTAAAATGTATTATTTCTAACTTGCTCACAAATTCTCAGAAAAAGCAGATCATTGTTAAAGATTCCGTTTAAAAGATGCTGGTTATTCAATAACCAAAAAGGTCCACTGTTTACCTCTGACTAAAAGAGGCTAGGACTAAACTCCAGGACCAGCAGTCGCTGTACACCTTAGGTCCCCGACAGTTCTCTCCGAGGTCAGGGGTCCCAACAGTCTAACACAACCGTCGGACACCCCAGCTCCCCTCTACTTTGCCTCACAGATGAGAAGGGTACCTATGTTGACAAACGATCTAATCACGAAAATTCGTTCACTTTGAAAACTCAACTTCGCTTTAGTCAGGAGAGTAGAAGTCTGGAGGTTATACAGTAATGAACTCCACCAAAGCTACAATTCTATAAGTTAACTATATTAACATAAATATTTGACTGCAAAAGAGAATCTTGCTTAAAGACTTTTGTAATAAAAAATACTGATCCTAAAGAGCTTCAGAACACGCAAACCAAACTCTTCTACCAAGTCAATGCTCACTCAGTAACCCTGTTGAAGGAGCTAGTTTGTACAAACAAAAATTACATAAATCAGTATACAATTTATTGTATAACCTTAGATTCCTGATACTGTGGGTGCTATTCTTTTAACACAGATCTATAATTGTGGCTGTTAAATGGAGCTCACTGTGAAATGAAACTGTGATGCAAGCCAACCGAAAATGTGGGCTTCACGAAGCTAATAAATACTCACCTGAGTTGGCATATTTTCCTTCACACGCGTCCAAGCCCCAGCTTTGTATAAATACTGAGCAGGGCTCAGAAATTTGGCTCTGTATTCAGAATTCACCTTCCTAGAAGAAATGAGATGGGAGTAAATATTCTGCCATGTTAATCCTCGAAAGCCCACGATGTTACTTCTTATAAAACCCCTAC